CTGCCTTTAAAAAAAAATGTGTTAGAATATTAGAAGTGTAGTTAGCTTCAACTTTGGTTGCTTATGAACTCTGTTCTGATCAACTCTCACCAAGCAGATGCCCCGGTTTTTGCTGTGGATCTCAACGAATGGGATTGCAACCAGTGTGAGCTTGCACCGTAATATTGCAAACACCTATTGCTTACAAGCCTTTTCCATTCGCTGCCTTCAATACTACTATAGCTTACGTTTGACTTATGAGAATCAGGGTGTTTCACATGACTCCACGTAACTTTTCCTTTTGGGACTAGATTTACCTTAACTTCGCCTTTAGGTCCTGTACGAAATTTCTCCTTGTTGCCCATGTACCATGTGCTGAGTAACCAACAAGCTTCACCGTCCTCTAATTCGCACGCCCTGAAACATGTAGCTAGAATATTAGAAGAGCAATCAAGCAAATAAATCTGTAGTGATGTACAATTTTTGCTCAAACTCGCTTTTTCATGTACATTTCGGCTTTTTTAGAATCCGCCGGTCGGTGCTTTTCGCCATTCCAGTGCACCAGTGAGAGATATCTGCAAAGTGCCGAGTGGTAGACAAGCAAGGGAACTGGGTATCGTAACTAACCTGCATCCTTGTTTCAGATTCCCATCACAGGCAATCTGCATTGGCTCGATCATTTTCGTCAGATCTGGTGTGCACTCTAAATAAGGGTATGGTAGTAATCTTGAGACTGTTGACCATTGCAATTTTTCAAATTCTTCGTACCACTTGAGAAAGAGTGCAGCCTGCCTCTCACCCCAAGAAGATCACATAACATTGAATACTGGGCATGCACGCTACCAAGAGAGGAGGATTGCACAAACCACCTCAACGTCTAGCAGAGCCGTGTGATGAACGGGCATGAATCATGGGAAGTGCGGTTCTCCCCTCATTCATCATATAAGAAACCAAATTCAGGGAATCCCGCATTCTCCAGCTAACTTTCAGTAATGGGGTTTACCTAGTCAGCTCCTGAGAGGGTTCCTTTCTTCGAAAATTGACTCCCACTACTAGGTAAAGCCCTTTGAGGTCAAATTGATGAACAAGGAATTCAACAACATTCACATAAATGCTTCATTCACTCGTACATGGAACTCCAGACTCAAGTTAGCGTTTCTGGACACACATTATCAGGGCTGCACTTTCTCTCTTAAAGATGACAGCCATCATGGGCTCAGCGCTTCTGCGAGAGTGGTTGTGTGAGGGCCGGACGCATAGTCGGTCGGACGACAGCAACGACCGCAAGTGTCGCATAAACCGCGGTTGCAAATGGAAGGCGACGCGGTCACCCAATGCTAACCCAGACAACACGTGACTGCGCGTGATCGTATTTCGAAAGTCCCACTGTAGTGTGGAATAGTAGCTGCGTATTGATCTACGACACTTACCGCGTCGCCTTCCATTTGCAACCGCGGTTTATGCGACACTTGCGGTCGTTGCTGTCGTCCGACAGCAGCGGTCGTAAGTGTCGCAGGTGTCGCAGATCGATACGCACCCAATGCTGTGCGACACTTGCAGTCGTTGCTGTCGTCCGACCGACTATGCGTCCGGCCATAGAGTGACAATTGCCTTATCACGTCGCATGGTGCGATGATCAAATCCTGAATCTATTGCTCCCACAACAGCCAAGCTCTCCATCCCTCTGGGATCGGTCAAACGTACAAGACTTGTTTGGGAAGATAAAAACATTGAGCACAACACCTCCGGAAGTCATCGTATACGATAGAGCGCAGTCGAATTGCCAGTGCGAATTCGATTGGAAGTAATGCACGGCGTATCACAAAAAGGGATAGGTTAGGGATTTGTGGTTGGCGAACCTTCCAAACTATTCATATTACCAAGGATTTCCTTAGTTCTGAAACTTTTACAGAAACGTTACCTTTTGATCCGTGTCAACGATTTTCCGGTTAACAGATACATTCCATATTTGAAACAACTTTTCGGATATTTCCGCTCCTCGCAGTTCTGTTTGAAAAGTGTGTAAGCGGCCTTGAAATTCTGTTCCAGCGCCTCCATGTACTCGCCAAGAAGTTGACATGAATCGGCTCGTTTTTCCTAAAATGGTCACTACGATAAATTTTTGGTCGCTTCCGCGAAAATCTTTCCACTACGAATTGTCTCGGAGCAAAGGCTCAACAGCTTCACAAGAAGCTGAATTATAAGCAAAATACTTTGCCTCAGCTGAAATTCGAACTCGGCCCGCCTTGCTTTTTGGTCAGAACTGCTACCATCACACCACGAGCGCCATGTTTGATCTTATCTCAGATCTCATTAATATTTTTGCGCCGCTGTAATTCGTCACAACCTGCTGCTAACGAGGGACAAATATACTGCAAACACTCGAGGTTCGCAAAATGTGTACAAATTAGGAACTTAATGTTCTCCATACAAGACGCCGTTCATGCGTGGCTACAGCCCCCGGTAGCTGGCGGGTTTATTTCAGTCCTTAACTAGTAAGTACACTATGATGTCACCCCATTGCAAATCACATACAATAGTTTGAAGAAGGGATGGATGCGATGGTACTCGAAGAAAAAGGGGAGGTTGCGGGAAAACCCACCGTCTGCGCAACGCTCAGGGACAAGGCCTATTTTTCAGTCATACATCGATTTCGCACAAAATGTTGCCAACTGATTAACGATAAGACACAGTCTGAGAAAGCGCAAAGGTGTTGGGTGCATTCCCATGTATGGTAATGGTAGCCTGTACCCCCAGGATACCATCCTAAGTCTGACTAGGCCCGCAAGTAAACAGCTGAGCCCGGCCCCCTAAAAATTATTGCATTCGCCTTGAGATGCTGAGGTCAGAGCTGTTTTCGTTATCGGCCACACGATTCTTTGAAGGGAGCTGTAAGGAAGAAAACTTTAGAGGTAGTTTGGGCCCCACTGGCGGTTTCCGGATGGACTCCTCAGAGACATGCTCCCCTTATCAGCATCTAAGGGTGACTTCCGACGTCATCACTTTATTAATGCTTGCCCATAGGTGCCTCACTGAAGAGCTA